AGCAACGTGGCATTCTATTGCTGATCAGAACCAAAGTGGCGTTTGTTCAGTGTAGCTATACATATAATCAGTAACATTTTGTCTGCAAGTGGATCTTTGACTCCAAAAATAGCAATATATGGCACTTAGTGGAATACATGCAGATTTTGCTTCTCTTGCGTGGTATCTACATTTCAGCTTTATGTTTGATGCCTAGATTTCTCTGGGAATCTGAAAGGAGGTGCTCTTGTCTGTGGAGCAAACTGATTCTGCTTTATACAATAGTAACATGTTCAGGCTGCACAGGAGAAAAAAATTAAAAAACAAAACCCCACAACATATCCCCTCCCAACCCAGTACTCTTGCTGATCATATTAACAGGTCTTAACACTATGATCTAATCAAGAAGGTTCAACTTTTAAAATCTCATCAGCATTAGCTGAGTCAGCATCATTAAAGATCAACCTAATGAGTAAACCATACTTGATTGTAATGGCTGATATTTATATTTATATGCTCAGAATGGGGAAAAAAATAGGAGAGTGGAATTTGTTGATACGCTAGTTCTGAACCATAAATCATTCATTTTTCCTCTTGAGTACACTGCATTTTATCACTTAGAAATTAGCATCTTTCTAGTTCTTTTTCCAAACCTCAATGCAGACAAATTAGGTTGCCAATATAACTGTACAGAATTGTTTAACCGAGGAAAGTGTGTATTGGTATAAGTGGGTAGAAAAATTTTCAAACATTTTGGGGTTGGGGGCTGACAGAATATTTTGGCTTCCTGCAAGCCTATAGTATTTTATCATTTAACTTAAAGTTGTGCACATTTTTTCAGGTGCACTGTGGCATGGGGCAAATCACAAAACTACATTTGGCTAATACCTGAAAGCACTTGAAAAGATTAAAAATTGCCTTTGAGGTATAGTTATCAGTTCTGTGATTTTGGGGGGAAGAATATTCATTTGATAAATTTCAATTGCAATATTAGCCAATAAATAGTATCCTATTTGCCACTCGTTGTAATGCATTTGCAAATGACTTTTTCTAGATAGAACGATGGGAGACAACTTTGTGTGTTTGTAGGTCTGTCTAGTTAAACAGCGAGATTTTACTTTCCAGAAGACTATTAAATCTGTCCATTTTGCTATCCTTCAGCTCTTCTTTAAACCAGAATTTAAGATTTTCATTCATACTTCTGAAGAATATTCTTTCTCCTGTTGTCATGACTGTGTGTGGCAGCATTCAGAGACTACTGTGTGTAATGGTGGAACAAGTATTTTATTTCAGTTTAAACAAAGGTAGTCAAACATTAAGGAAAAATGATCACAAATATTAATGTAATTTATATTTGGTTTGTATGGTATTTGTATGGTATGTCTGGTATTTGGTTTGCCAGGACTAAGAGACCAAGTGTATGCTACGCTTACTGATTTTCATATGTAATGTGTATGTGTTCGTATATCAGTGCTTGTTAAGTATTTTTTATTTTTTTAAATGATTTTTCATACATTTGAAAAGGAGTGCATGCTTTATGGTAAGTCTTCACTTCTTCAAGTAATAGAGCTATCAATAATCAGAGAAGTATAGAAATAAATACTGCCTTATTTTATATATATATATATATTATTTATATATATACACATATATATATATAAATTAGTGAAAACAAATTGCTCATGAATTCTGAGGGAAGGAAAGTCATCATTGAATCTATCTGGCAAAGCATTGAATCCATAAAAAAAAAATCAAAGTTAATTTGGAGTGGTCTTTGAATTATGTGCTAATCAAAGAGGGAAGCACAGGGTGGATAGAAATGACCAATGATCCATCTGTAAGCCTACAGCAAGTCTCTGGCAAGTCCCAGCAGTCTTTTTCCCTTTAGAGGTCAAGATGCACGTTTTTAATGAATGGTCTTTCATGATGGTCCAGACATTTTTCTCTGTGTGAAGGGAGAGAGATTTTATGTTTGCAGATATTTAGAGGATTTAGTAATCTATACCTACTCAATGACCTTTTAAATAGGGAAACTGTGACCCTATTGAGATGTTTCTGAGTTTTCAGATCAGCTTTGCAGGTGCCAATATGTTTGTCTTATGGATTTGATAAACTCATTGAGTAGAACGAAAGAGCTGGCACCAAAGATTGCTTTTTCCATCCTTTACTTTTTAGCATCTCCATTTTAAAACAAACAATAAGGGATAAGTATCTAGTTACATAATTTCTTTATAATTTCAAATACATTAGGAATTAAAAGATCTCTGTGACCTTTATTGTATGATATTTACTGAAACTAAATAACAGAATAAAGTAGTACATGACTAATGAAATATAGCACCATTTTTTCATAAAAAGTAAGGTGGTTGAAGGAAGATTAACAAGAAAGTCTGATGGAAAGAATGATATAACAGATTGTTATTTTGCTTTCTGAATTTCATGTAAATGAGTCTCTTCTGGTTAGTCCTTATTTTTGTGATTAAAATCACGGCTGTTTTGTCTTGAGATGGCAAATTCCAATAATATATCATTTTGTACATTTAAATTTCAGACCCAAGTAGAGGAAAATCATTTCATAGTTATTAGCTATTGTAGTAGAGTGTGTTTTTTATTTTTTATTTTTAAAAATTCATTCTCAAATGATGACCAGTGAAAAGATCTAAATGACAGAAACATGATTGGTAATAAAGCTATAGTTTGGGGAATAAAATAACATTTTAATATTCTGATTATAAAATTTTGATTTGTAAAAAAATAGCACCTTTTACCATGGACAGCATCTTATTTTCACTGTTACTGCAGGCTAATATGTCTGTATGTAGTCACGCTTATAGCACAATCTTTGGTGATCTTTATGGCCTAAAGAGCATTGAAATCCCTAAATTTCCACTTTCTTATATATTTCTTCATCTAATTCTTCATTCCTGGTTTTGATTCTACCATTAATTTCCACGAGTTTCCTTTGCATTTTACAATAAGATTTGAACTCTTCCTGATCTGCTTATAAATGTCAAAGGTAGTCATTGTATCTAGCTTCTTAAAAGAACAATGTAACAATTGTGACATCTTCACAATTAGAAAAATTATTTGGAAACAATTTAACAAAGATGTATGAAAATTTAAGATGTGGCATTTAGTCCTTTTGCTGATAAAGGCTAGGCAAAAATGGCATTGGATGAAGTGTTAGTTTGCTCTCACCAATTACTTGAAATATTGTACTCCTATTCATATTTAATAGTAACATTTTGATCTGTCTGTGGTCTTATTTTAAGCATTTGATAATCTGTAACAGTTTACCTGCCTTAACCTACCTCTGTTCCCTATACCTGGTACAGGAAAACAGTGTTTCCCACTCTAGTAGATATATTTGCTGATGCATCATAATTATCACTGCATGTTACAAATATAAAATACCATCCTTCAAAATATATATAAAGAGACTTCTTGAAAGGGGGCGTTATTTTATTTATTTTTTTAATTCTGAACATAAACAATCAGCTGTAAGATTTCATTCCAAGGGCATTTTTGAGGAAGGATCTTCACCTATAGATGATGATGTTTAGGAATAGTCTTACTTCTGAAACCTTAGACTTGAGCACAGACAATAACAAACCAATTGTGTTACATCCTGCTGAAGGGTGTGTGGTTAGGGATCACTGCAAGCACAAAATTGTCAAGGCAGACATAGAAAATACAACAAACTGGAATTTGTATTGCGAATTTCTGGCTGAAAACTTCAAAGTAACCATGAAGAACACAAATATTTGTAAGGCTGAAATTGGTGAGTGTATGCCTTTATAAATTAGTATTTGATATAAGTGGATTTTTGCTCTTTTCAAAGCGACTATGGTAGGGTTGTCTGCCATGATCAAGACATCTCTAAGATTAAATGCTAAAAACTGAAATGGAATAGCAAGTGAAGGAAAAATATGCTTTGACACACGTAACTAAAATCTAAGTTATTATACTTTTGATGAAAAAGCCTACAATGTAAAATGTGTGTTTGCTTCAGTTTCATTTCACATAAGTTAAATAAAGCTGCAAGGTTCACACTTTCTTTAGATCATTTTATGCTGATGTATCAGTTTTGTAAGGAGTTGTATTCCAGTGGGTACAGGAAATGTTTTACTCAGTCAAAGCTAATAATTGTTCATTCTGACATGGCACTAATGAAAAAGATTCTATTCCAATTACAAATCTATTTCAAAAATAGTATGGCACTAAAGCTCCCCAAACAAAAAAGGTGGAGTGAATTTTGCATAGCAGTTGAAATGTTACATTACAGGTTTACTATGCTCATTTTGTTGACAAATTCAATTTAGTTTGGTGCCAATTAAGTATACCTCAATTAATGCAAAAATAGCTGCAAAATATGTTCTTTGGGTACCCCCTTTAAGTGACAGAAGTAAGTGCTAGCTTTGATCAAATTTTATTCCAACCAGTTATTGAGGAAAACAGAAAAAGATCAAATCTTAAAGGCAATTGGATTGAAAAGTTAGTTGTCCTGTCATTCGTTCTCTTTCTTAATAACTTCCCCTGAGTTTTGCTGCACATGAAGTTTGTTCTTAGGAACAGAAGATAAGTTGATATAAAGACTGGGGAAGTAAGGCCAGTCCTTTTCTGTCACGAGATCTACATAACATATTTAGTTCCACAAGGGTCTACTATATGGATAGCATTCCTTCAAGCCACTGTGCACAGTTTGCCTCCTTTCTTTTGACCTTTCTGCTGAGCTCATGTGCAGTCTATAATTAATCTAGGCCTTAAGAACAATAGCTGACTTTATAGCAAAAACTGTCAAAGGTAGAGTGCTTGATCCATGAATATTTACATTCATATAAGCTTAAGAAATTTGTTAGGTAACACCATCCAGGTGGTGTGAACTACGTCTCATAAGGCCAAGTGCATTAAGGAGAAGCATATGGAGATTTATATATGAATGAGTTGTGCTGCAAACCTGGTGGTGGGGGAGAAAAGTCTAAGATCTTAAAAAGTTTAACAGATGTATTCTAATCCTTCAGGTCTGATCAGATTTCCCCTTTAACGCGGGCACAGGCAGGCACCAATCGCAGAGCTGGCATCTTTGCAAAGGAAAGGTAGGTGTCTTCCTGCTGCAGCTTGTCTATAGTATATATTCAATTTTACAAGTTGTTTGTTTCACCTCTTTTTTTTTGGTGCTGATATGCATGATTTGGTCAGATCACTATGGCAGGCAGAAGATTCCAGACTGAAAGAGTGGACCTTGGACAAATAGGGATGACATGATCCTTTTGAAACAGCTATGATTTATTGGGCTAATTTACCCCCATTGCATCCACATTCTTCCAGTTTCTCCACTTCCTTGCTTCCTGTGTCTGTTCCTGTTGAAACTTTGTAGAACTCCAGAAGTAGCAGCCCAGGGCACATCTTCTTTGAAGCTACTTGCCACCTTAGCATTTCCCTGAAGGAAGAAAAGAAAATTCTTCTGCATCTCTGCAGCAAGTCAGTCATTCAGCTTCTTTGCATTTCCTCATATTTTTGACAGTATGCAGGGTATTACTTAGTATTAATGTCATTGGCAGAGCAATATAAAAACATAGGTGCATTCAGATAGTGAAACAAAAGAAAATAAGCAGGCAAGATTGCTCTTTAATTTAATCTCCCTTGTAAAATATGGGAGAAAAATGATTTATTAGCCACTTTTTAAAATAAAAATCAGCTTAGCAATATATAGGATAAAGTCTTGTTACTGGGTCTTAAATGTATACAGATTTGGATATTCCAAACTGAATCTTCAGTTTGCCTTTGAGAGTTTTTTTTTTTGTTTGTTTGTTTTGAGAGCAAAATTACTTGAAGACAGTAAAAGATCACTAAAATGAACAGGAATCTTTCTAATCAAGGTCAGAGAGCAGGAAGTCTGGTGGAGCCTCATTTGCAGGTTTGACAGCTGTAGTATAACAAACAGATTGTCAAGGCATATACAAGCTACTACAGTAGAGGAGAACAGAGGATGTATCTAGTACTGATTACAGAATGGCAAGATGCCTGATAGAAAGAAAAACAAACTAGTCTGCTCAACGGGTATGGAAAAAACAACCAGTGTAGACCACAGGGCAAAAATCAAAGCAGTCACGCAGAGGCACAACTGCTGTATACATTAAAAGAAAAGAAAGTAGAACAAACAGAACAACCTATTCTACAGGAGAATCAGGTTGAGTTGTTGGATAAAGTAAAGATACTTGACCTTATGGAATCACAAAGGGATATTTTTAATGATGGTTTATAGCTCTTAGTGATTAGTTTCTCACCATGAGAAATACATTTCTCAACTAAAGACATCAATTTTATGATGAGTTTAGTTTCAAAAATTTTCAGGGTTCTGATCTCACAATAATAACTTATGTGCTTAAAGGAACACAATTTCCATTAAAAATGTGCAGGTGGCAAGAAACCTGCAAATTAAAATAACATCTTTTTAAAAATATATATATATTGAACTTTTTTAAGGCAGTATTTTCTTTTTTTCTGATGTTGGGTTTGTCCTTTATCCTTTTCTCTCATGTCTTGCTGTATCTTCATATAGAAAATGTTTGATTGCACATTATGTTGTATAAGGGAAATTGATGGCGAAGAAACTGTTCCTAAACAGGTGAACAAAATATGTAGGAAGCCTTATTTATGGTGAATAAGCTTACTTGGGTTAATTTCATCTGGCTTGTTTCTAGCCTAACTATTAACATTCTACTTGCTAATAGTTTCTGTAGTAGTGCAACATTGAAACTGCATACAAGCTTTGTTTTGAAGGAATACAGTAGCTGGCAAGGCAATTATATGCTAAAAATAATGGAAAGATTTCTGGTGTTGAAAAATTCTCAAAATTCTTTTAAATGTCTGTCTGTCCTTCCTCAGGATGGAATGGTATTATCAAAGTTTGTCACAGCTGGAGGATATCTGCTCCCTAAAAACATGGCAGGATGGGCTCACTAACATATTTGCATTTGTAGAGCCATAAGGTTCATTTTCCACAAACACAGAAGGAGGTTGCATGATGTTTCAATTGGATTTTTCCAGAAAGAGAAAACACAGAATTTGTCCAGTCACTAGAAGAACAGGCTACGTTTTCTTCTCACAATGAAGGAGCCACTAGGGTAGCGTAATTAAATATTAAGGTCCCAGCTGTGAAGTCTTTATCAAAAAATTACATGTAGATAGAGGCTTTTTTACTCCCCTCTATGTGACTAAAACCTAAGTGGGATTCAGACAAATGCCTGCAATGAGGCTGGCTACAGTCTGTTCCAAACATGTGCATTGGGACCGGTGCCTTCCAGAACCCACAGCAGGAGCCAAGTCTGGCAGGCGTGGATTGTAGGAAACCATAACTAACTGCTCAGGAGGCTTGCGCTTGGACACTGCAGTAAATACCAAGGCTTTTGGAGGATTGTTTCTGAAGATAGTTCACAGGGCCATTTAATATTATGGAGAATGGTTTTACATTGCTAATGAAGCAATAACTGGGTAAACGGTACCAAAAGATACTTCAGAAGAACAATAAATGCAATGACTTGAAAATCATTGAATTTTTTAGATTATATTTTGGGTGTGGAGAAAAAGGCTATTTGAAAATGTTTCTGAAATACTTGATGTAGCATGTTCTCAGGAGGGTGTCAAGAGTGATGACAGTAACAATTCTTTAGATTTCATACAAAATATGATGTTAGATTTCATGCAAAAAATTCTTTACTTTCTTGAAAACCAAAGATTTGAAAATATACCAGGAGACTTGAAATTTTGCTCTCTGATGACACCAAGCAGTCATAGACAAAAATAAATAAATAAATAAATAATAATAATCTGAACCTGTAACAGGAAACACAATTTAAAATGTAATCTTACTTTCTCTCTTTTGGTGTTTTAGAAGGTCTTTTGAGGGTCTGCACCTGCACAAATCTCCCTGTGGGAGAAAAACAGCATTGAAATAGAAGTCTTCCTGTATAGTTGTGGAGGCCCTTGGGTTTTCTCTCTGGATAATGCTGGTTATGAAATTGGATAGAGAACACCTATTTCTTGAATGACTTGTTAGGCACTGCCTAACAAGTGGCTGGTGCTGGCACTCATAGTCTGCTTGTCTCAAAGATTCTCTCTCTTCTTCTTTCTTCTTCTTTATTCTTATAATTAGTTTACCCTTATCTTGCAGGGTTAATTCATGCTCACCAACCTATATTAACAGTAACTGTTAACAAGGCTAACTTCCTTTAATGTCTATGGTTGCTTTAATTGTAAACACAGATTGGCTGAGGTTGGAAGGGACCTCTGAAGGTCATCTGGTCTAACCCCCAACCCATTACAGTACTCACATGTTGATAAACTTTGTGGAAGTAGAGAGGAACACGAAGACCTTCTTTTGAGTTAAGTCATATCCTGCTTACAGAATTATAAGTGTTTCCATCTGCTTTATTCTTTTTGTTGGTCTATAAGGAGAAGTGATTATCTATATTTGAAAAGTAATGTTTTATTCCAATTTATAAATTAATTTTAATATGGGTTGTTCTACACATTACTCAATTTTGCATATTTCTTTATGCAAATCAGTAGAACTACTGTGTAGTACTTGATACACAGTGGAATTCATCGAATTCTCTTGGCTCAAGAAGGAGAGTAGAAAACCAACCTCATCTGCTGTAGCTCACCGAGTCTAAACTTTGCATGTTAGAAATGAATAAAATTCATTAGAATGAATTATCTGTATTAATGCTGTATTAGATGAGACTACAAGAAGTCAAAGGCAAGGCCAGAAAGAAAGCTCAACAAAGGAAAACAAGTGTTTAGCAGTGAAGCAGGGCAAAGATCAGCAAAACTCAAATCTTGAGAAGTTTTATGACAAATAGGAGAACAGGCTGAAATTTTGAAGTGCCAGTTTCTAGACCCTGCATGGTGTCTGGAACAGGTTTGGGATCAAAAAATAAACTGAGCAATGAGTAGATGAGAGGGGCAATTCTATAATGTAGTGAAGCAGTCTAAGCTGGGGATAGTCTGCACTGGCAAAGATACTACTTAGACAGTCTGACTTTTCTGAGGAGTTCTTCATTTCTTCTCAGTAGTAGGGATTCTAACTTTTAAACTCAACTTGCTCATCCAGTGTCCTTTCCGTGCTTCAGTAGAATGAATTTGGAGTGCTATCCTGTAATGAAGCTTATAAACATGGAAGGTTGCAAATGAATAGGAGTAACTGTCCTTTCATCTTTCACATGTCGTCATTCTGAAAAATCCATGGCAATTTTGGCAACTCTTCCTTTGAGAAGATACTGGGTCTTGGAGAATTTCAAAATCTTGAAATTGCTAGATTTCACAGGCCTTACTCTTCCTAAAAACATTAACATACAGAATTCAAAAGATTAGCGATAGCTCTGTACATTTTCTATAGAAGATTAAGTTTCAAATAGTTAAATGAGAGGTTAAGGTAAGCATTAATTCCAATTTCATCAATGGCCCCATCCACATTATTTGGTAAACTTCAGTTATCGGTGTGATAACTGAATATGAATATGTATATTGAGTTATATACATATTATGTATATGTTGCAAAACCTGAAGTGTACAGGGTAGAAATCCGGTCATTAAGTTTACATAGCACATAGTTATGTTACTCTAGACTGTGGGCATGGGGAAAAAAAAAAGTAGCCTTCCACAAATGCAAAGAAACAATACATTAAGCACATGGAAAACATTGCAAGACCTAGTAAGATAGACTTGATTTCATTAGTTTATATATATATATGCTTATTTCGTAGATTTGTTTCAGATAAGTGGGTTGTAGAGTGTAAAAAGCTGAACAATACCAATTATTTTCTATGAGTTTTGTAATGCTCACGGCAGAAAGAGGCTAAGAAGTATTAAACATCTTTTGAGGTTGATTAAACACAGAAGCAAAGTGGAGGAGATGAGCAAAACCCATTTATTGCAAATACACTATTACAAGTGGCCAGTATTAGATAAAACAAAAAATAAAAATAATTTCTGATCTTTTTGTCTTGGCTACTATTAAAACTGTTTTATTTTTCCTTTTTTTTTTTTTCTTTTTCTTTTTTTTTTTTTTTCTTTTTTGCATTTACAGTATTGT